ATTGTTTAATTTAAAAGTACAGAGTTCTTTCATAAAATGTAAAACCCATACATTAAAAACTTCATTTACAAATCTTCCATCCTACATAATTCTTCCAATCATAAATTCCTTTATATTTCCCTTTTTGTTTTGTTTCTCAATTCAATCTTCTCAATCTGTTTTTGACAAACATTTCACCGTTGATTACATACTACTAATATCTATCAACATAAGTGATATCCATCACAATCATACTATTAAAGAAAGAATTTATACCATCCAATTTAATCTTCTCTTTCTTCATTTGCTTATTAAGTTTCTATATCAATTATTGCGTTAAAATAACATTAATTAATGATGTTCACTTATATGTTCTTTAAATAAAATCAAGTTAGGTAATCAAAGTGGAAAAGTGATATATATACATACACTCACTAGTTAAATCAACTTGTAGTGATTTGACTTTTAATGTTGGATAAACATAGATTGAGGTCAAACATCGAAAAACGTATTTAGATGTAAAGTAACTTTAAAACCTTACATTGCTCTCTCTCTCTATAGATAGATACATAGATGAATATAATATTGAATGAAGTCATTAATAATAATCATATAAAAAAAAGTAATCAGAAGGGGTTTTGTGAAGACTTCAGTATTTTCATAGTCAAAATCATGAGTCATTTGAAGCTAGACCACCATGACAAACCTCGAAGTACTGGTGAGGAGTTCTACAATAGGACGAAACGGCCGTCCAATGCTTCCAGGTTTTCGATGGTGGTCTAAATTTAATTGACGCATAATTTCAACTATGAAAATAAGGAGAAGTTTCGGGCAAAAAAAAAACAGTTACCAGGAAGCATTTAGTGAATAAAATTTTTTTATTGTGTTCATCTAACAAATTTTAATTTTTGTTTTGTTTTTTAAACTTTGACAGATTGTTAATTAGGCGGAATTCCTATTTATAATTATAACCTTGCTAAAATAGTTTTTGTAGATCATTGATTCGAAAGAAGAAAACAATGATGAAATGATTTACTAAAGCTGAAATAAATACTGATAACTACGGATCAGTGATTATTCAAGTATTTGTTTGTTGTTGTATTTTATTTCTTTTATAAAATGATAGTGTGATGTGGGTTACTTATATCCGCATAAGTAGTATATGGTGATGGTCAGGCATGGTATGTATTTCACTAGAAGATTGATAAGGAAAGAACCGGAACAGAATAAAATTGGTATGAAAATGCATGAACAATAAAATGACAGAAGATGGACTGATATTTGCAGAAGGAACAGTCAAGATTGAGACAATTGATTGTTATTTTTCAAATTAACTGTTTACGCTATGGTTAACAGATTCTTGTGAGATAGTCTGTAATTTGTGCTTAAATACATTCGATTGTCCACACCCGTGTTCTGTTCACTACAATAGTAGTTTGATGATTTATGCAGCCAGTCAACATAAATACTTCATTACTTAATTAACTTTTTTTCTTGTATTTCCATGGGTTGAAACTCAGTATCTGAGATTTCATTTGTATATTAATTCAGCAAGTAATGACAGATTAATTTCAAATCTCACTTCTACTCACCGTTGAATACAAGGTTTACTGGATAGATAACTTCGTCAAAATGAAAGAAATGAGTCAGATAGTTGACAATATTAGTGTAACGTTTCTCTTCTCATACTAAACGTGTTCAGTGATTTTAAAAAAGAATTACTGATAATAAGCAATTATTCTGGGCTATGGTATAAGTATTTTGATTGTCAATAAGCTGGACACGAATTGTTTCAGTTTTAAGTGGAAGTTTTATTACTGAGTTACCGTAGAACATTCAAGGCAAAATTAAGTTGAAAACTCGATAACTTGATACGCTGTACTAGTGTAGTGTAGTTTGTAAATTATCCAAGGCTTATCATTTTCGCAGTAAAAAGAAGTGGACGATAGTTATCGACCATTTTTTTAATACCTTGGCGCCAAAAGCAAACAGCTATATTTCAGGTTGACTGGAAAGAATGTGTGACTAATCTCTATGATTTATTTATATTTAATTACAACTCATGTTTCTAGAATTCTGGATAGTTCATTTTTCAAGCCTTTCCATTAATTTATTTGAAACGGTCGGCATGTAATTGGTTCTCGTGTAACTGCCCCACACGTGGTCTCGTTGACTTTAACTGACCAAAAAATCTGAATTCCAGTTATCTGATTTCACATACAAAAAAATTTCATTTGCTTGACACTATACCATTTTAACGTGAATACAGTTCTTCCAAACGATTTTTCAACATACATTCAATAGTCTTCGAATGTCATTTCTTTGACTAATTCATCACATATATGTTTACATTTTTCAATATTGATGCATACTTTATCCTTCATCAAAGTTTATAGTTAGCTATTACAATTTTGTCAACTAATTGTTCTATCTATCATTTATCGTGACATAAAAGGAAATTAGCCTTATCCCAACTAATTCACTGTAAGTTATAGTATAACACATTGATAAGCATATGATTTACAAAATACATTTAACTCTCAGTTTCAATCAAAGTTCATTATCCGCTTTGATAAGTTAGCGGTTTACAAGTGCTTGTCAGTCACCTTCTTTACATAAATACTAGTCTGCCTCCTAGCTCATGCATATATATATGAAGAAAACTGAAATAATGAAGGCATATTGTGATCAGGACATTTTAAGAAATTGTTCTTGTATGATCACTAAGATATCCATAATCCCCTCAAGTCAGTATATTTATTATTGTTTAAGTAAAAACTTTACTGTCAATAAATTAATCGTACAATGTTGTAAACCTTTTAAAAACTGTTCTAATGACTAAAAGAGTTACCATACCCCAACTGTCATTAACATTAAAACGTATAATTTTAAACATGTATATCACTTTTATTCTCTGGATGTTTGGTATAGCAGTGTAGTGCTCTGCAAGCCCACACAGCTCATTCTAGCTATCGGACGGGTCAATTTATTCCTTCTTGAGTCACATTTTGACCTTGTCAGTTATTTGCTTGTCAACCTTTAATGTTTTTTGTGTAAGCGAATAGGTATGCATTTCCTATCTTACTCATCAAATATCTGTAGCTCATTTTGGTTTGACCATAAACACCGATTCACGCTTGATCAAATCGAGTTGGCCAATACGCCTTATCCATCGCATGTCGTTTCGCTTCGTTCCTTGATTGTCTGTTTAGATCAATGAGTGTAGAAAGCATACGTATCGAAAAACCCATTATCGTGTTTGACTTATTTAATTCCGTTATTTACTAACGCGAATTGAGTTGATGGTTATATACGAGGATTGATGATATGTACATTTCGATAGCGATCAATCATACAACTTAACTTGAGTCAGATCTTGGGCCAAAAAGCAGTGTAACAACGTTTTTACATCACCAGAGTTTCATTATTTACTAAATGGATTCTCTTCATTTTATGGTCAAATTTTATTTACGTAGAATTCAATGTTAAGTGTGATTATAGCTAAGACATACAGTATGACAATACAATAATAATAATAATGTGTACATGTTATTTTCACATAAACCAATACTCTTATGAACAATTAGCCATTTTTATATTCCCAAAATGAATAGGAATTATATCTATTTTTAATATACTATACATACTATACTAAAGAATAACATTCAAGCTACAATTTCACAATAGATGTGATGGTTTCTACAACAACATGAATCTATTATTTCTATTGAAATGAATGACAATGATCAATTGAAGCTAGAGCACCATGAAAAACCTGGAAGCACTGGACGGCCATTTCGTTCTATTGTGAGACTCCTCACCAGTGCTTTCAGGTTTGCTTCAAATGACTCATGATCTCAACTAATATGAAACTACTAAAATCTCCACGAAACCCACTTCTCATATTTTTTTTATTAGCAACTAGATAGATTCGAATGACATGAATAAGCCCCTAATGATAACTATTGATATTAAAAACCGACTCCTATCATGATATATGTGTTGAATGAAGTATATGATGTAACCTTTTTGAATAGGCAACACCATACATCATAATGAATATCATATGCTTTGATTCATCTATTTTATACAACTCAGAATTTTATAGGTTTACTTTATCAATGGTATAGTTCATAAACATTTTAGATTAAGTAAATATAATGATAGAAATAATGCACAGTTATAATTAGTCACTATATACGACTACTTGTTGTTTAATGAGCGTTAGCTACTATCAAAGGCTGTGATTTTTTACTTCCAGATTTATTCATTTGTCTAAATGAGACCATTAAAACTCATATTAATGTGTGAACCCTCTCGGGTTTTTAAGATTTTTAATGTTTACTGGGAATTAAATTGAAGTTTCATTATGTTTTATGATTCTCAATGTTGGTATAGTTGAATATAAATTGAAGTATACTATTGTCTGTCTTCAAAAGAAACTGTTAAAGGTCAAAAATATCTGATGAACTATTGATTCATATTATCTATTTTCTATGAGGACATAACGACTATGAATGAATGGTGTATATAAAATGTAAGGTATATGACACTTTCTTAGAAATTTAACCAATGATACCATCATTCCGTCTATCAATCTTAAATGCATAAACGTAAGTTACTTCATTCTACCTAATATCATGAATTCATATATCTAATATATTAAAGTAAACTATTCAGTCCAAATTTAAAATAGAAACATCTTTAAACAGAGACTATTAGAGTTGAATCATGTCATATATGATACAGTTATCCACCACAAATAATGATAGACACTTGAGTAATATCATAAATTGATTCAAGGTAAACTAATGTACTATTTGATGCTAGGTCAACGGTCCAATGGTTAAACGTTCAATTGACCCCCTATAATGAGGTCATGAATATGGACCACTGAGAAGTCGTATATTATGACGAAATAGTTGTTAATTGCTTCCTACTTTTCAATAATAATCATGATCTAATTTCTCTATAAACCTAACTAAATAAAACAAAAATTATATAAAGGAAATATGACTTACTTTTTCCTTTCTTAGAGCTTGTTGTTGCTCCATACATTATGATTCTTAGAAGTATATATATATTTATGTATATACTCAATGTTCAATATGGATATGTTCTTCAATTACAGTTATACGACTCACAGCATAGTTACAAATTTCAATGTTTTAATAATTATAGGAGTATAAGTGATTGTCATTATTCTTTCTATTCAATTGTATTGAGTAATGTACTAGTTGTTACTTTTGAAGATTGAATTACCCTTAAAGTATACTGAGTTTTATCATTATCATGGAAGTAGCTTAGAAGATAATAAGAATAATCATAATTCCAAAGTTATTTTATATATATATACAAATAATTACAACTATAAAATCGGTATATACATGGACCTCAATACAATAACTCAATGTATATTTATAGGCTTAATGAATTATAATCCAGTTAATACTACTGATAATTACTGAAATTGAAAGATGGACAATGAAACTAAATAAATTTTTTTTCTAAAGTTTATTTAGACAAATAACAATTCGGGAAATTCATTTATTTTTATACATAGAGATATACAGACATATGTTTACATGCTTAAATTACCTTTTTCCCTAATTTCATATATGTTTGTATCTCGATCAAAAGGAAAAAAAAACAATGTTGATAAGATTATGAAGAAAGTTGCCATGGGATTTTGTGAAAATGTTTGTTATGTGTTGTATTTATTCTTTAAGAAGAACTAAAGATGGACACATATCTTTTCAGTTCAGATCTTTAATATACTTACTTACATACTCTTGTTACCCCTCATGGAGGAGTATAAACCATCCACCATCATTCTTCATTTAACTCTGTCCTGGACAATCCTTACCAGTTGTTTTTACTTGCTATTCATCTTTTATATGTCTGATTCCAATTTCCAACTCAGTGTGTTATTCGATCCCGCACTTTTCCGTATCACTTCAACATTCTAGATTAGAGCTTATCTCGTGATCCAGCTAGATGATTTCTTCATTGTATGTTCTATCCAACTTCATAGTCTTTTCTTAATTTTCTCTTCATTTGGAAGTTAATTTGTTCTTTCCCACGGTTGAGTGTTGCTGATGATATCCAGTCAACACACATTCAGTATCTTACGTAGACAGTTGTTGAGAAATACTTGTACTCTTTTGAAGATGCATGTAGTAGTTCTTGATTTCCTTTCAGCTCCTTACAGTAGAACTATCTTGACGTTCGTATTGAGGTTTGTGACTCTGATATTGGTCGACAGTTGTTGTGAGTTATATATGTTCCCCACATTTAGGAATTCTGTCCTTAGATGTGTAATTTAATATAAAATTACAGCAAATAGTAATTTCAAATCCGAATTATCAATAGCATGAAAATATACATTTTTTGAAGTTACTCCTCTGTCATACACATTGAACATGTACCTGTTAGTGAGATACAATCTATAGTTTAAAGTAATGAGTTGTGGACATTTGTTTCAGTAGAAATCAGGATCTGGAAAGATTTTGGAAAACGTTCATGTTTTTCATTCTGTTGACAATTACTCTCCGAATTCCTGGTATCAAACATTCAATGTAACCAAACCTGAGACATTCGTTTAAAAAAGCATATACGTCAATAATTCCAAGTATTTGTAAATCATGTATTTAGAACGACTCTATTAAAAATGTGTAAACTAACAGGACAAGTAAAATCCTTACAAACATTGGTGTTACGTGATTCCCTCTTTTCATAAGACAAAGAAATATATGAACATATATCTTCGAATTAATATGCATAATAATGCCAAGATCTTCAGTGACTTCTGTCAAAAATTTATAGAATTTTTAACAATTTTTACAACGTTAAACGAAGCTAAGCATCTAGAAGCTTTAAATCAAGTGTACTTCATCTGGAAAAAATATCGTTAGAATACTAACAACATCTGAAATTAGATTATTATTTATTACGTACAAATATTAGCACTGCTGGGCTTCTCAGTAAACATGCTATAGAAAAATGAGTGAATAAAATTGTGTAAAGCTAAAATCACTCAACTTCATGGATAGGTTGAAGTTAGACAGTAACACCGTTGAATGCTGGCACAGTGGTCTAGAGGTTAAGTGCTCTGGTGCGAGAATGGTAGGTCCTGGGTTAGAATCTCGCGAGGCGGGATCGTGGATGCGCACTGTTGAGGAGTCCCAAAATAGAACGAAACGGGCGTCTAGTGATTCCAGGTTTTCCATGGTGGTCTAGCTTCAATGGACTCATGATTTCAAATATATATTAAAAATCACTTTGTTAAAACAAAATCCTGTTTAAATTAATGACAGGCTGACTTTATTTAATTTTGTTAATAATTATAAATTTCTTTTTATAACAGTAACCCTATGACATCCTCTCCATACGACCGTTGTTATTCTATGATTGGTCGTAATCGCTTTTAGTTTACCAATTTTGCTAAATAATGAGAGATTATGTTTTGTCGCAGCACTTACAGAGTTGTTTCATTTCAAATTTGACTTCTGTTTGGAATACAAACGTACTATGATAGTACCGACTTCTCTGTCTCTTATTAACGTATGGATTGTGTACTTTGAAGTATTATTGTCTGTAATTTATTGTATTACAGAATACACATTTATTTTTCATTTGTATTATGGGAACCTTAATTGTTTTAAATTAGAAAACTAAAGTGGCTTTAAACAAATCTAAATCTTACCTTCCAGATGTAATTCCTAGTTATTCATTGATTATTAGAACAAATTTATTTATTTATTTATTCGAACACGTGAATATTGGTAGGAAGGTGCACCAGATACCTATGCATCACACAAATCTCATTTGATTTGTGTGAGGGTTGTGATACTCCCCGGGTGCCTAAACCGAAGCAGATGGTTTCCTTTGGGGGCCACACCCGCAGCCTTTGACCTAAAGATCTAATCCACAAGGCAGTGGAGCATCGTGAGGAGATGCAGTCTCAACGATTGATTCATACTCCATTTGTTCCTTCAGGATACTGGAGCCCATATGCACTGGACATTCGCTTTTCGTCCTTGTAAACAATAACCCCGCCACGAGAAGGCAGTGAGTAGGACTTCCCTGGAAGAGGCTGTATACGCGTGGTCATGTGAGAGCATTTCGGGAGGGAGAGCGGACTTTCCTCACTCTCGACCGTATCTAGGCATTTGAGGGCGAGGCCTTGTGATGTATGATTTTTTGACGTGAATATGGTCTCGTGGTGTAGCGGTGAGCACTTTGGACTTTGAATCCAGCAACCTAAGTTCGAATCTCGGCGAGGCCTTGTGATTATTAGAACATTCAGAATCTAATTTATTTTATAAGCAAAGATGGATAGTAGCTAGCAGTGGAACCTAGGATGCGCATTTCATCCTATTTGAGACTCGTCCACTGGATATACGCTGAGGGAACATCAACTCTGAGATGTAGGTACATCTAGCTGACGAGTCCCAAATAGGACGAAACGCGCGTCTTGTATTCCACTGCTAGCCACTATCCAACTTTGCTTATAAAACTTGTGACTTAAGACAATATCGAGGCAGTTCTCACAGGCCGCACATTTGACCAATAAAAGACTGATCAATTTCAGTCTTAAACAACAATGGGAAGATATCAGTAAACAAAATCAAGTGAATCTAATTTATTTCATTTCACATATATAAAAACACAGAATAATCTCAAGTTTATTAATCCTTAATGGAAGTAAAGAAATATAACTCTAATTAAGAACCATACATACACATATATACGTATATGTTTATATAAATAATGAACTGTAAAAACACACCTCGATAGATTATTTCCCTCGAATAACTCCAATTATACTTAGGTTTAAATAAATAATCCATTAGTTTTCATAACTTATAATCTCAATCAATGTGTCCCAGAAACTTCTGTTAGGAAAAATACATGATTTAATAACCAATAGATATGAATAAGATTACTGAATTGACAACTAAATAGATTTCCTTGAGATATGCTTTTGATTTACTATGTATATGGGGGAATGTTGAACTTAATAATGGCTAACTCTAAGTATATTTTAATTATATTTGACTGGATAAGATCATAGTCATGTCTTGATATGAGTTGGAAATGTAAAACAATGAATTTCAACCTAGTCATTAAAAGGTAATGTCCCAACTGACAAGCTTACTGATTCTGTGTTCGGCTTCTAGTGGTATTTTGTCAGTAAAATGTTAAAAAGTTGAAGTAACTGTTATTTGAAACTATCCCTTTTTGTAAGCAAAGGTGGATAGTGACTAGCAGTGAAATCTAGGACACTCGTTTCGTCCTATTTGGGACTCGTCAGCTGGATGAACCTGCATCTCAGAGTTGATATTCACCCACTATCTTTCGCTTCAAACACCATCTCCTTATCCACTCAGCTACTGAGTCCTGATAGGTACTTGCTTGTGCAATGGGTAGGAGTTTGAATTCACTTAGTATTGTTTGTTTTGAATTTTCCCACCGATGCTTAGGACTGAAACTGGGCAGTCTCTTATTGACATATGTGCATACTGTGCGTATTGCCTCGATATTGCTTTAATTCACAAGCATTATCCCTTTTTAGTTTTTAATTATTCGGTTGTTAAACCCAGTTCGTATTATAAACTGAATTCAAAGTTTGGAATTAACAAATGCCTATAATTACCTGTATGTTCGTCAGTAGACTGGTATTCAAAGTTTAATATTATTTCATAGTATTCATTAGTTTTGCATAATCTGACAACAAAAGATTATCAGTATAGGGTTGTGCAGATTGTTGAATTTAGATTAATATCATGAATCGATCAATGTTAGACCATCATTGAAAACCTGGAAGCCTTGGACTGCTGTTTCGTCCTAGTTTTGAATCTCCAGTGCTTCCAGGTTATCAATGGTAGTCTAATATTAATCCATTCATAATATCAATCTAAAAAATGATTACTTTGTACTTCTTGTTTACCGACTGATATATTATCGACGTTATTTTTTCAGTTAAGGTGTAAAGTGATGTTTCCGATGACTATGGTTAAATCATTCCGAAAGAAACGGTCTTGATGTAAGTTTTGCAGTGAATAATATAACTAAAAATAGCAAAATTGTGAAAAAACGAAGACGATATTTTAAGTAATCATGTTGAATAAAGAATAAACTTAGTAGAACTATTATTCAGATGCACACAAAATCATTCGAATGGCAGTAGTGATAGTAGTAAAGTTGTCAATTGAATTCATCAGTCAATTTGATTTAGTGTGAATGTGTAACAGTTCTACTTCATTGACTGTACAAATCAAATTGAACTCTGCTTTGGTATACTACCAAGTTAAGACACGAATAAAAGGGATTTAACTATGCTGATTATTCAAAGTTTGATTTGATGAAGAATTTTAAAGTTTTACAAATATTGAACATAGAAATGATTAATGGTAGTTTCTTTTCTAACAACTGTTGTGGCATACGGGGTCCGAATCTGATACTGATATACGGTATGCTACGCGCTAAACCTTCGAATGAGTACTTGAGTGAGAACACAAGAAT